ATTCTTTAAAATCCTTCTTCTTCTGTAGGAATGAAAGGATTTGGTCCATATTTGGTCTGAACCATCCTTGGGTGAAGGGGAACCAATTTTGTATAAACTATGGGTTTGGCTCCCCAGGGGCCTGATGGGCGGAGCCCAATAGGGGAAACATAGCAAATTATTCTTTAAAATCCTTCTTCTTCTGTAGGAATGAAAGGATTTGGTCCATATTTGGTCAGAAGCATCCTTGGGGGAAGGGGAACAAAGTTTGTATAAATGGTGGGTCTGGCCCCCCTGGGGCCTGAGGGGCGGGGCCCAATAGGGGAAATATAGCAAATTCTTTAAAATCCTTTTTCTGTAGGAATGAAAGGATTTGGTCCATATTTAGTCTGAAGCATCCTTGGGTGAAGGGGATCCAATTTTATATGTACTTACAGCACCTACCATGGAGTGCTATTTCTTTACTTCATAGCAATTATTTTAAACATATTCAGGAGAGCGATACAGGCCCTCTGGGCATCTTGTTTAAACTTTAATGAGAGGCCCACCCTATAACCATATGTAAATAATTGCTGGGCATATAATTAGAAAGAAGAATACACATATGCTTACAGGAATGCCCCAGAGTCTGGCCCCGCCCTTAGAGACTACTAGTCCCTTGGTCATAACTTTGAAACACTTGAGACACAAACCCATAACCGTATATACAATTGCATATAGAGATAAACACTATCATGATATTGAAATTGACACTAGTAGTCCAGCCCTACCCCTAGAGACTTCATTCCTGGGCCATTACTTTGAAATGGTTGAGATCCCCACCCCATCACCATTCCTGGGCATAAAGATCCAGGTGAGCAATTCAGGCCCTCTGGGCCTCTTCTCTTAATAATTTCCAAAATTTTCTCAGTGGTTTTGCTTGGCTTGTAGCCAAATTTAGCCCATTTTATTAGTTCACCTGGTCCAAAGGACCAAGGTGAGCTTATGCCATACTGTGGCGTCTGTACGTCAACAATTTCGTTAAACAACTTCTTCTTCTTAACTACTGATTGGAATTCAACTAAATTTGACTGGAAGCATCTCTGGGTGGTGGGGATTCAAAATTGTACAAATGGTGTGGCTGACCCCCCAGGGAGCTGAGGGGCAGTTCCAAAAAAGGTTATTTGGCTATATTGCTTTAAGCGACTTCTTCTCTGGTACTAAGTGATGGATATCAACCATATTTGACTGGAAGCATCCCTAGGTGGTGGAGATTCAAAATTGTACAAATGGTGGGTCTGATCATGAGGGGCCGGGGCCAAAAAGAGTATTTGGCTAAATTGATATAAACAACTTCTTCTGTAGAACAATGCCATGGATATCGATCATATTTGGTCTGAAGCATTCATGGGAGGCAGGGATTCAAAATTGTACACATGTTGGGGCTGACCCCCCGGGCTAAGGGGTGGGGCCAAAAAAAAAGTATTACTTGGAAATGGTTGAAATCCCCACCGTATAACCATATATACAATTGCTGAGTGTAAAGAAAAAAATGCGCATTTGCTTCTATGATGGACCTAGGGTCTGGCCCCACCCTTGGAGACATAGTCCCTGTGTCATAACTTTGAAACGGTTAAGATCCCCACCCCAAAACTATAAATATAAATGCTGGGCAAAAAGAGACAAATGCAGTCATGATATTAGAATTGATCCTGGGGTCTGGCCATAACCCTAGGGACCCAGTTTCTGAGTCACAGCTTAGGGACCTAGTTTCTGAGTCACAGCTTGGAAACAGTTGAGATCCCCACCCCATAACCATACATTAAATTGCTGGGCATGAAAAATCTAATACAGATATGCTACAAGGAGTGGCCTTGGGGTCTGGCATATTCCCTTGGATCTGATTTGGAGAATATTTTGCCATAATTGCTTAGATACCTAGGTGAGCGATACAGGCCCTCTGGGCCTCGTGTCATTTTGACCTTTTTCCACGTTTAGGTATCTGGTGCAATATTAATACCAGATGAGCGATACAGGCCCATTTGGCTTCTTGTTACATATTAAATGAACTTTTCAGTCATTCTAATGCCTAATCTTCTTTTTATTGACTGACATATGTTCACAATCTACAGTCTTTTGCTGAGCAAATAGTGAAAGAGCTGTAACTAGTTGGGCAGCATTTGATTTCTGTTTTTCCATTTTAGATTCCCCCGGAATTCCTCCTAGTGCGACAGCCCATGAACTGTTCCGAGGCTTTAGTTTTGTAGCACCAGCACTACTACATGACAACTCTGAAATCCCTAACCCTTTAGATAATGAAATAAGCCTTAAAAAGGTAACTGTTTTGCATCCCCAAATATAAATCAACACTTTGATTGACATCCTGAATATCATGTTATGTAGCAATAAAACATTCAGCACTGGGCAGCTCGTTTAACCATAGATTTATGATCCACATTGGTTCTTTTTTTTCTCCCACATTGAAGAGTGGAGTATATTGTGCCATTGAGCTATGTCCAGCATCAACTTTTTAATTGACATTGTCTGTTAAACAATAAAACAACTTATTTTGAAGAACTGAAAGGTCATAATATCTTGCCAGTGGCTTCCTGAAATGGATCCCACTGTTGGAATCCAACAGTATAGCCCTAGACTACCACCGTGTAAAACACTGCAGGTCCCAAGGCTACCACCGTGTAAAACACTGCAGGTCTAGGGGATTCGCTGGCTTCACAGACAACATTGTCTATGACTAAGTTGTCTATGAAGTTATTTCCTATGATGTATATTTCAATGATAGGTATGTTAGTGAAAGAAAAAGTCCTCTGTGAAAATAGTTATCTTCCTTAATTTCTTTTCTGTATTTTCTGTTGTTCAACACTTTAAATATACAAGTTAAAATAATCTTAGTCAAGGTGTAGATCTATAAGAAATCTAAAACACACAGACTTATTGCCTATGGTGTATAACTTCAAACGAAATTCTAAGACTGAGATCCCAACTAAATTTATGAAAACATTGACCTTATCCTACTTTCAAGGTTACAGAGGCCAATATTTCAAAAATTCCAAGAGTTGTTAAGTTTGGATGGTAGATTCCTGGGATGGAGTCGGACAGTTTGCAAAAAAAAAAAAGAAGTTAATTTGACCTACATGCATATACAAGGACGCAGGAGTCATTTATGTCAAAAAAACCACCAAATAACTTCTTTTGAAAAACCAAAAGGCCTATACTAGAGTCTTGATATTTTGCTACAAATTTACTCAGATGGAGCCTAACAAAGTTTGCAAAATAAACTATTTGGGCCTACTTTCAAGATCATAGGGGTCAAATGTTTTGAAACCTTTAAGCAATTTCTTAATAATCAAGATGACTAAGATGGTGGGCTATCAATTGCAAGTAGTTTAAAGAACTTACCTTGACCAACAATGCTACAAGGTCAGATGTTTCCAACCTTAAATCCCTTCTTCACAATAGACAATCTAATGCAAGAATTGACCCTGGAGTATGGCCACACTTCATGGGACAACTTTGAAACAGTTCAAATCCCCACCCTTTAACCATATATACTATATACCTGGGCATGAAGAGAGGAATAACATATGCTACCAGAATTGCGCTTGGATCAGGAGCCCCCTTTTGAGACTGGGTCACTTGGTCAAAACTTAGAAAAGATTAAGATCCCTACCGACCATATGTATGCTAACTGTATGTAAAGAGATGAATAACATATTTTTCCAAAATGGCTCTAAGATCACTCTATGAAAATTAATTCCTGGGTTAATATAACATTTGGTTAAGATTAAGATCCCTACCCAATAACCTATACAGTAGTTGGACATAGAGTACAAACACAGTCATGCAGCCACAATTGGCCTGGGTGATTACAGGGACACGTTTGACTTCCCCACCATGTAAATATATATATGAAATTGTTAGGCATGAAGATTTGGATACAGATTTAGATATGCTACCAGGGTTGGCTCAGGGGACTGGCACTATCCCTGTGAGCTTATTTGCTATACTACTTTTATTGAAAATATTTTGCCATGATTTCCTGTATATCCAGGTGAGTGAAAAGGCCATCTTAGCTTCTTGTTCTGAATAATCAAGAGCTGAAGGATTATTGCTTGATCGTGTAAGGGGTATGAAGTTAGGAATCTGAATTAATAAAATAGATCATCATTGAAGGTCAGATTATTGCAGTAAATTAAAGTCTTTCAGGGAAGATTAATGAAGTGGAGAGTACCAAGTAATACAATTTTCCAACATAGTCCCATCATATGTAAAGTACAATGTAACTGCACTTCAGCCTGTTTAATCAAATCTGACCAGGACCCTCTTTGAAGGTCATAGATGCATGAGTTGAATAAGATGTGAGTAATACCATACTTGCCAACTCACCCTATTTACAGTGTTCTCCCCAGAACTTTTTTGATGCGTTATGGTATTCTTTAACCCTTCCATCACAGCGTGGCGCTGTCAACCGTTACCGCTTCGCAACCCATCTATCATGCGCGACACCACTTTGAGAAAGGAAACTCAACACACGAGTAATAGTTGATGTATTTAATTTTAAATAAATAGCATTACTAATCATGACATTGCATTTTTAGCCCACCATCATCTGATGGTGGGCTATTCAAATCACCCTGCGTCCATGGTCGGTCCGTCTTCCGCCGTACCAGAGGGATCTTTCTCAAATTTCATATGTAGGTTCCCCTTGGTCCTTAGCTGTGCAGGGCAACTTTTGAGACTGATCGGATAAACAACATGGCCGACAGGCAGCCATCTTGGATTTTGATAGTGAATGTTTGTTATCGCTATTTCTCGGGAAGTACCAGAGGGATCTTTCTCAAATTTTACATGTAGGTTCCCCTTGTTCCCTTTTTTGGAAGACCTGAATGGAGTGGATCATGTCAGGTTTTAACTAGGGTTGAAGAATTAAAAATATGTTTTATTCTGTTTTACATATTACAAACATTGTCATGTTATATGTAATTTAAATGTGCTGAAGCATTGTGTTAAATGCTGTGGAAATATTTCTTCCCAAAATTATTTGGGCATGAGGGATATTTCTCAAATTTGATATGTAGGTTCCCCTTGATCCCTCGTTGTGCATGTTATATTTTGAGACTGATCATAAAAACAAAATGGCTAAAGGAAGAACTAAACAGATCTTTCTCATATTGCAATGATCGATTCTATTTCTTTCACATTAAGTACTGTACTAGTAAATATGTGAAATGACAAACTCACTTTGAAGGTTGGCTTTCATACACATCAGTATTAAGTTTAGATCAAAAGTTACCTCAAGGTGCATTAACTGTTAACATGACTCGATCAAACAAATAAGAGGAAAGAGGAGAAAAGATTGAACTGACAAAGAACTAATGAAGATGGTACAATGGTGGGCGCCAAGATCCCTCTGGGATCTCTTGTAGTATTATTGCTCATTTTCTTGCCCTGTTCTTTTCTTTATCATAATATCTTTTTAACAACTACAAATAAAATAGTCTGACTCGAGAAATTGTAAAATTTTAATCATCACTTTTTTCTCCAAGAATCTTGTCATAGAAATAAATGAATATATGTCTGAGAGCAAATTTATTATAATAGTATTTCCAACCAAAGGTATTTATTTGGACAAATATTTAATCACTTTTTAGCTCACCTGGTCCAAAGGTCGGAAGCATTCATGGGAGGCAGGGATTCAAAATTGTACAAATGGTGGGGCTGACCCCCCGGGCTAAGGGGTGGGGCCAAAAAAAGTTTATTGCCAGGAAATGGTTGAGATCCCCACCATATAACCATATATACAATTGCTGAGTATAAAGAGAAGAATGCACATTTGCTTCCAGGATGGCCCTAGGGTCTGACCCGACCCTTGGAAACATAGTCCTTCGGCCATAACTTTAAAACGGCTGAGATCCCCACCCCAAAACTATATTTACAAATGCTGGGCATAAAGAGACGAATGCAGTCACGATATTAGAATAGACCCTGGGGTCTGACCAAACCCCTAATGACCTAGTTTCTTAGTTACAGCTTGGAAACAGTTGAGATCCCCACCCTATAACCATATAGACAATTGCCGATTACAAAGAGATGAATGCACATATGCTTCCAGGATGGCCTTGGGGACTGCCCCACCCTTGGAGACTTAACCCCTGGGTCATAACTTTGAAATGGTTAAGATCCCCACCCCAAAACTATATATACAATTGTTGGGCATAAAGAGACAAATGCAGTCATGATATTAGAATTGACCCCAGGGTTTGCCCCACCCTTGCAGACTTAACCCCTGGGTCATAACTTTGAAACGGTT